GGCCTTCAGTACCTGGCACATCTACTTCTACTTGGTGTGGTACCGGCCTACCTGCTACTTGAGTGTTTTCCCGCTGCCCTAAGTGTCGTGGGCCTCGTGCCCCACCACTTGGGTGTTTTTCCCCCGCCTGCAACCCTTAATGTCACGGCCAAAGGTAAGTACCGGCCCTACGGGCCTTCAAACAAGCAAGTACCCCTGCGGGTCACACACACACTCAGGCCGACCAGCACTCAGACAGGCACGCAGACCATCAAGCACGCAAGCGCACAGACTTAGAAAACTCAGCAGAATGGGGGAATCCCGGCAAGGCATCCATTCCAGCAGCAGAACTCAGAAATCAGCGGTGTTCTCAGTCTGTGTTTTGGCAGGTCATTACACTGCCCCCACCTCAAGAGCGAGGTCCCTTCGAGCGAGGTCCGGGCAAAACGCATCGTAGGCGAATACTGCAAAGAGGGATCGGGATTATGCTGTAGCAGTGAGAGCCGCAGTAATCTTTGGCTGGGTATCAATCTGTCGTTCATAGGCCTCGACAACTCGGGGTGCGCTTTACAACAATTCCTTCTTGGAAATCCAGTAGAAGTCATCTAGTGGGTGATATAGAAAGTGAACTTGATACTGTCTGTTACGTCCCTTACTGGTATGACTCATAATCCTGTCGATCTCATGACTGCCATCGATAGAACGAGGGATTGTAGGGTCACGATAGGGAAAGGAACCAGGAGCACAATACGGAAACAGTTTGGATGTGTGAAAGACCGGATATGTGCGTCATTCGCAGATGGGGTGGCACGTCGATCACGTAGGAAGGGCCTAATCCATCATCTCCCACTACCTTCAACACCTGCCATGGGCCATAATAGAGCCAGAGGAGTTTACGTGACACTCCCTCTTCTTCGGAAAACTCAGACATCTTGACCCCGACATAGCTTCCCACTTCGAACACTGCACGCTGGTGCTTCTTATTAGCGTGTTTAATCATGGCTTCTTATTAGCTCTGAGACTGGATGGGTAAGATTAGCAGCCTTGTGAGAACGAGAGGAGCCCTAGGACAGATAAAGCACTTGGCCACAGGCCCTCCAAGGGATGATGGACCCAGTTTCCAGCTGGTGCTGCTCCCCACCAATAGATGGAGCAGCCTGTTAGCCAAGCCCTCAATTCCAGCAGTTCTCTCACCGCCGCCGGGGTAGAGGACTTGCAAAAAGGGCTTTCCTTAAACCACCACTACCTCTGAGCCTGTTTCTGCCAACCCTTTTTTTTTCTTTTTTTTTTTAACTTCACATGCAGGAAAAGCCTACTTAACAAGGTGATAAGAGCATCCTCGTTAAGTAGGCCCCAGCGTCGAAGGCTCCATCGATTGGTGGGGAGCTACACCTGCTGGAAATCGGGTCCAGCGTCCCTACACAAAGATGTGTTGTGTATCAGCTGGGAATCGGGCCCAGCGTCCCGGTGCGCACCGAGTTTTGCCGAGCCTGGGGTCCGTTGTGTTCCTTTTCTGGTACTCTTCTGAAGAAAAAAAAAAGCACGGCCAGACTTTAAAAAAATGACCTACTCACAACCACAAAAAAGAAAAAGCAAAAAAAACGAACACCCCTCTGGACGTGATACAAGGTAGATACCTACCCCAAAGTTGTTGTGCCAGTATGCTCCACGAAAAATGAGAAGAAAAAAAAAATTGAAACTGAACTTAGGCCGGGAAAGCGGGTTCATACATTCTGCAAAGTTGTAGTGTGGGCATGCCCTCCTTCACAAAGTGTCAGCAGCCCGTGGACTGCACCGTGCCTCCCTGGCAGGGCATGAAAACAAAAAAAAAAGAAACAAAACAAAAACAGCAGCAACAACAACCTGAAACTGGCCACAATCGTAGTTACATACTTTCTTGTGAGTATTGGTGTGAGGCTGTGAGCACAACTTCGTGCACGGCCTTCCTGGACTTGGTCTTTTGTTTTTCTTTTTTCTTTTCAAAGGGGCCCACATTGGCCCCACAAGGCCCAACTGTCAAGCCTCCGCCGACCCCCGAAAAGTTCGGAAAAAGTGGGAAAACAGCCACTTTTCCCATTTTTCCCAACACTGGTGGAGGTAGTGGTGGTTAAAAAAAAAAAAAAAAAATGGAGCACTCACCTGAGCGCCATAGATTGGGTCTTCAGTACTGCCTGGAGGCGGCCTTTACCTGCAGCACAGTGCAGCTCAAGACTTCATCTTTCGCTCATCAGTATGTGGTCACAAGACAGAGAGGGGAAATTTGTCTTCTTCTTCTTCTTCGTCGTCGTCGTCGTTGAGCTCGTTGTCATCCTTTTTTGTTATTGCTCCACCTTCCATATCCACCCCTTCCCGTCCACTTCCTTTGTGTGTGTGTGTGTGTGTGTGTGTGTGTGTGTGTGTGTGTGTGTGTGTGTGTGTGTGTGTGTGTGTGTGTGTGTGTGTGTGTGTG